TCACTAGAAAAAGAAAATATATATAAAAACCTGTGCGTTTAAATGCATCGTATTCGTAAATTTTTAATGAAGAACTTGTCTACGCATGCGTGGACAGCACATCTTGGTTTCATTTTCGATTTCAAAAAATAAAAGTTATGCAGCTCAGGCCTCTGACAATGAAATATCCATCTGTTTCCGGCCTGTTTTGACTTTTTAAAGATACTATCACATCACATAAAGACAAAAAAAATAATAATATTAAATGTAAAAAAATCAGTTTTCAGAGTCCCTGCAAATTAAGTCAGTTGAATGAATTTTCGCAACTTTCATTTTTTCCTAATTCAGATTTCAGCTTCAGTCAAGGGGGATAGTCTTTAAAGGAACAACAAAGTCAATTTTCTTGCGGTGTAATTTTAAATGCTTCAGTCGTGTATCGGCACAAAACATCAGAATATTTAAAAAGAAATTTATGTGGCAGTTTAAAAAAAAAAAAGTGCAGCACAAATAAGCGTTTAGAAAAAGCGTCTCCCCTGCCATCAACTATTTCTGTTTACGCGCGTGGCCGTGGCTCGTGCGTGCACGCGCGTGGGATTATGTCGGCGGGAGAGAGAGAGAGAGAGAGAGAGGGGAAAAGAGAGAGAAGGGATGGAGCTGCTTCATTGGCTGCAGTGTGGCTTTTCCCTTTCCTTTGCATGCCATCCTAGATCAAAAAAAGTATCCCAACCGAACCTCCTCCTCCTCCTCCTCCTCCTCCTCCTCCTCCTAGCCATCCAGTGCTGCTCCATCGATTAGCTTCTGGAAAACACTTAACAAACTAATGACTATTGATGGCTGATTAATATTGCATCAACAACAACTGATTGGCGACAGTATCAAATGGCGATCGCCGCCGTTCACACTCAAGCAAGCCATCTGACGGGGCTTTTTTTTTTTCCTGCACAATATTTTTTTTTTTTTTGCAGGAAGGAGCCAGCAGATGACAAATAAAGGGAGCTGCTGGTGTGATGATACGGGTTGTGCAGCAGCAGCAGCAGCAGCGTTCAGTTTATGGCGCACAGTTTCGTCTAATTCGAGAGCAGCCGCGTCTTTGAAGGCAGACACTTGGCGTAAATGTACAGTTAAAATATTCTACTCTCAGGTCCCCGGGCGGAGCTCCGACAGTCCCTGGCTTCATTAAAATTTCATCAGTATCCCTGTGAAAGAAGGAGGGGGGGGGGATGTTCAGGGGAGAGGGAGGGGGGCAAAAAGAGAAAAATAAAACAGAAGGCGTAATTATAACAAAAGGAAACAGCGCTGCCCTTTTCGTTTTGTACAGAGCTCCCACAGTGTGCGCAACGTATGGAGCAGGGGCTGTCTGTGGCTTTAAGGTATATTGTTTGGCTGACGTATTTATTATATATAAAAATAATAATAATAATAAATAGCATGACCTTCGATTTTCCCTTATTGTGCTGAGGCCTTTTTCACTCCACGTGTGTGTGTTTTATTTTTTTTTTTCAGAGCTGAGGTCACATTGATTCGCTATCAAAGAATCCAGATCGATTTTCTCCCAATATGTGAAAGTGAAAGCAGGCAATAGCAGCGTGTCTGTCTGTCTGTCTGTCTGTCTGTACACACACACACAGAGCTCGGGCTTGTCAAGCAGCAGCAGCAGCAGCAGCAGCCTCCTCACTGCATAAAGTTAATTTCAATTCCCGATGAGACACTCACTCGGCAGCCCTCCCTGACCAGCGGTAATTAACAGGGATAGCTAATGACTACTTAACTCGCTCTTCATAATTATCTGGTTTTCATAATTCGATGTGTAATTTAATAATTCGCTCTTATTAACGTATTAAGTGAATGGCTCGTTTAGGGGGAAATTAGAAGCACTCACCAGGAGCATCTTTTAATTGATGAACCATCACGGCTGTCTCATTAATAAGGCTCGTTTTGATACTCTTAATTTGTCACCAGGATGGCGGTTGAAGCATGTTTGGGTTTTATGGATGAGTGTTATGAAGGCGGCTGGAGGGAAATATTATATGAGTAAAATTAAAATTGTATTTTTTTTTTTTGTAAGAATTTGGTGGACACTTTTAGGATTAAATATTTGTGTGCTTCTTAAATTATAAAAACACTTTACAGTGAGTTTTTGATGATTAAAAATTTGCAAGTACATTTTTTCCACCCAAAAGTGCTGCACAGAAAAGTCCACCCTCCTGCTACATGGTGTGATTTATTTTATTTTTTTTAACTCTTCTAATCAGTTCCAAATAATCCCCAAAATTAATCCCATGCAGATGTATTCCAGGTGCTGTAAATAATCAGTGTAAAGGTGGAGGACAGCTTTCAGAAATGCTAATGTTTGGCTGTGCCAGCCTCTCAGGTATCTGTCCATGGTGCTGAAACGCTTGCTCAGCGCTCCAGCAGGCAGCCAGGCAGCCCTGCAGCCCCCAAAACTGCAGCTCTGCTTTGGACATGACATTCAAAACGCTCCCCTCTCTCTCTGTTTTTTTTTCCTTTTAACCCTCCTCCTCCTCGTATCTAACCATAACTTCGAACCAAAGGTTTTGTGTTTTTTTTTTTTTTTTTGCTTCAAAGCCTGTGTGCCCGCATGCACGAACCAGCCATGTTTGAGTGTGTATTTAAATAGAGACGGGCACGTTGGCAGGCGAGCTGTTTTTCTGGCGGGCTGACATCTGGCAAGTCTGCGCTCCAGGGACCCATCTAGCTCTCCATAGACCCCCTGATTAGACTCTAATAGAATATTAGCATTTGCTCTCAGGTAAGGCAACAGTGAGCCGCATAAGCTGGCAGCAAGTCAGTGGAAGAAGCCACGTGTGTCTTTAACAGTGATGGAATAGAGAGCTGGTCCTGTAAGGCCTGCTTTATGAGGAGGCCTGCAGCAGGAGCAGGGAGGAGGACGGTGAGATGCACAAGTTAAAGGCACACGCACACACACAAAAAAGAGCAAGTTCTAATTACAGTTCACATTTTCACTTTTGGTATTCATCTCACACAGGGAGCGAACAGATTGAGTGGGGGTGGAGTTGGTGGTGTCTTGCTCATGAGCACTGTGACAGGCCTCATGTTGCGTTTCTAAAAATAAAAAAAACCCAAACCGGACACCTTCAAGTCATTTCACCTCTACAAAAAAATATATGTGCAGTCAAATGAGCCTAAAGAATCCACAAACTATCTCTCTCTTTTTTTTTTTTCCAGAGCTGTGTAGCCCACAGCTAAAGCGTTTCCCTCCTCCTTCATCAATAAATAACTAGATGAATAAATAAAAGAATATTAATATGTCTGGATGAGCCACTTTACACAGTGCAGTCATGAAAAAACGTCCGATTAAATGTTAAAGTTTGTTCTTTAATGAAACACATATTGCAGTTCAATAATTAAATAAATTAAAAAATTACATGGATGTAATAAATTAATAGAATAATTTAACCAGGGGAGAACCAAAAAAAAAAAAAAAAGAAAAAAGAGCAACATACATTACAGAAATAAGTTACCTCAGCTAAAACAGCAATACAGCAAAAACCTGTACGGATATATTTATGTGCATCGACTGATTCCAATGAAATATTTACATTTTACACGTATACTTCCATGAAGCTGTTTCTTTTTTTTTTTTTTTTCCTCTTCAAGAAAAAAAAAAACATTACTTAAACAAGGTGATTCTTTTTTTTTTCTTTTTTCTTTTTTTTTTTTGGAACAAGCAACGACTTCATAATGATGCGCGTATATTTATACAAATAAATAGCAGAAAACATACATAAAATAATTTAAAAAGAGAATACTATCTCATATAGGCTATATCTCGATTGTACCATCTCAAAAAACGTTAGAAATCGTAAAATTTTTGTGACTGTCTATTTCACAGTCGTTTCCCTTTAAAACCAGAACAACACGCTTAACTTGCTGTCAGAATTTGATTTTCTCAAGCAAAAAAAAAAAAAAAAAAAACGAGGAGGAGGAGGAGGAGGAGGAGGGTTGGGGGGGAATCCCAATAAATATATAATGAAGTAAACATGACCTCACTCAATAAATACTTCATAAGACACCGGCCCCACGCTGGATTGTAAACTTATTGTAGCCGGTGTGAAATCATATTTAATTTTAATTTTTTTTTTAACTGCGAAAATCTGTAAAATCCTTACACGTGAGTCACTATTTCGATAAAATTCCACACACTGAGGCCTAATAGTAACCTTCCAAAAACCCCGGGTATCTGGAAAATAGATCCCTAGACTTCGATCACAACATGGTAACAAAATAAGTGGAATTAATTACACATTTAGACACAAAATGAAGTGTGTGACGAGTAAATTATTCATTTACACAAGGGTTATTTTGGCAGTAATCTAATATTAGCTTTTTCGAGACCAAGTGTTGTCCTCTTAATCCCCTCATGGACCCCTGAATTAAATGTTAGACTGCATTGTCATGAGCTCGGAGGGAAAATATGTAGCTTATCCTATAAGCCAAAAAAATAGAAGTTAGTCACCAACCAAGTGCTTTGAGTCAAATAGCCCCGCTGTGCGTACATTTTAAACAAACAAATAATAATAATAATGTTATTTTCCACTGGGCTCTAACGCAAACTATAGTCACCAAATGAATTATAAATAAAAATGAAAAGCATAGAGTCCTGTAAGTCAGACTGCGTTGGCATTAAAAAGGTGAAGCATAGTAAGTGTGGAAACAGTGGTCTTACTTGCTCTGTCAAACGATGCTTTACTCTTGACTCCACATCTCCCTCTCAGCGAGTAGAAGACGTGACTTGGGGGGAAAGGTGGTGTTTTTGTTTTTGTTTTGATTTTTTTTGTTGTTTTTCTCGAGTTTTTTTTTTTTTTGTTCAGTCAGTGTTCAAATTTGTAGGAATTTTTCGAAGTTCAGAGCACAAAGTCATCGATGATTGGAAAAAAAGGTGTGAGATAGGAAATATGATACAAATCATCTCTAAACAGTTCCAAGTCTCTTTCGAGGAGGAGGAGGAGGAGGAGGAAGAGGGGGGTGTGCTGGCGACTCTAGACGCATGCAGAGTATTTCATTCGTTTCTGTTTCTGCCGCTGGTTGCAAAACCAGACCCGCACCACGTTCTTTTTCAGGTCCAGCTTTTCTGCGATTGCTGCGATTTTCTCCGAGGAGGGACGCGGCTGAATGGCAAAATAGGCCTCCAGTGATCGCTTCTCCGGCGCCGCTATCGACGTGCGCTTCCGCTTTTTCTCCGCACCGTTGAACAACTCGGGTTTATTAAGTTTCTCCCTGTGTGATTTCTCGGCTTCTTCTAGCCACGCTTGCAGGATGGGCTTCAAAGCGATCATGTTGTTGTGAGAGAGCGTGAGGGACTCGAATCGGCAGATGGTGCTCTGGCTGAGGGAGCCCACCCCAGGAATCTTCAGACTGGCTAACGCTGACCCTACATCCGCCTGGGTAACCCCGAGTTTGATCCGTCTCTGCTTAAACCGCTCTGCGAACGCTTCCAAGTCCCTGGGATCGGCGTCCACGTCGTTCATGCCCATGTGCGGTGGTAGCCCGTGGGCATGAGCCATGTTGATGGCCGCCTGGTGCATGTGGTTCATGCCCGCCATGTGGGCAGGGTGCGCAGGCGTGGAAACCACCGAGCCATCCGGCCCTGCCATGGCTCCCAGCGCCAGTCCCGGGGTGATGTGGTCCAGCAGGTCCCCCTCCAGCGCCTGGTGGGGCTGGTGGTGGTGGTGGTGGTGGTGGTGATGATGGTGGCCGGCCAAGGCGGACGGATGAGAAATAGGCACCGAGGAGGAGGAGGAAGAAGACGACGTGCAGGGGAGAGTGTTCATGGTGTGGTAGGTCGCGTCCGGCTTGAAGGGACTGTGATGTGGAGGGTGGTGGTGGCTCTTGGTCTGCGAGACTATATCCACCGCCGCTAGAGCTTCAGCCCGGGCCAACAAACTCTCATCCAAGCCTCCGAATATATTGCTCTGCAATTGCAAATAGAATGCACACATAACTGTCAGCAGGGAATTCTCCCTCCACTCCTCGGTTTAAAACATTTCCAGAATGTGAAAAAAAGAAATCCTAAAAAAGGGAGCACACAAAACAAGACACATGCAACATCCCAGGTCATAAAAATTTATACGAAAGGCAAAGCCGACTGAATACATAAGTTGAGCAGAGGAGAAAAAAAATATGGAGGTGTTGGGTGATTTGCTGTGCAGACATGAAAAAAACATCAAGCAAAAAAGTGGGCTGTCAAAATGTGCCTTTAAGCAGTGATTATGCAGAATACGTACCGGTGGGGTTGGGAGACAGGCTCTGCGCATCGCCTCCGAGCTGCTGCTGCTGCTGCCGCTGCTGCTGATGATGGTGCTGCTGTGTCGGGAGGACGAGCAGGAGGATGAAGGTGCATTGGAAGTCAGAGTGGAGGACGAGGAGGAATGCAACGAGGAGTACTTGGGTTCGGGCAAGCTGGCGTGGGCCATAGCAAAAGGCTGCTTGCTGTTCAGAGACATCATCATCATATTTGCAGGCGTCCAAGCCGCGGCAAGTTCCTTTTAATAAGTTAAGACTCCGCCTCCTCGGTCGGGAGTTGAAGCCCAATTGCTTCGCAGGAATCTCAAGTCACTGTCGAATAAAGTGTGCGGCTGAAGACGGTCGTCCAACACTGAATCACATCTATTTATTATTACTCGCGGAGGTCTGGAGGTGTCTTGTTTTTTTTTTTTTTTTTAATCACAGACACCAACAACAAGCAGCCATGCAGCTGAGCCGATGCCTCTTCCTTTGTGGACTTGTGGCGCGATTGTTCAAAAAAAATACTTTTTTTCTCCTCCCTCCTCCTCTCCTTCAACCACTTCCTATTTTATAATTTTTTTTTTTTTTTAGCCTTGGATTTTTTTCTGCTTTTTTCTTTTGGCAGACCTCCTCATAGACGACGCCAGAAAAAAAAAGAAAATTAAAAAAAAAGTTTCTCTCCGTCTCTTAGGATTTCCAAAATACTTGTTGCCGCTTTCTGATTGTATTTTTCTCTCTCTCTCTTTTTTTGGTCAAAAAGTTTCCGTCTTGAAATGACCGTAAGTGAGGAGTAATGGCGGTGACAGTCTCTGTACTGTACCTCTTCGACTACGTTGAATGCTGCGGGGACCCGGACTGCCTCTGCTCTGAGGCGAAGGGCAGACTGAGTCTCTCTCCGCCTCCCTCTCTCTCTCTCCCCCCTCTCTCTCTCTTCCACTCACACCCTCCCTCTCTCTCTCTCTCTCTCTTTCTCTCTCTCTCTCTAGCTCTCTCACCCCCTTCTCACTCCTCTCAGCCTGCACCTGAAAAACCCTTTCATGATTTATTATTCTTCATTAGCCACACCACCACCACCACCACCGCCGCCGCCGCCGCCGCCGCTGGGGACTCTGCGCATGGGCAGTCTGCAACAAGGCATTTATTTCAAATGACTCTACTTCATCACCAACACCTCGTTACCAACACCACGTCTAATGAAGCTCGGAGACTTCTTCTTTTATTTTTTTTGAATTGACTGTATATGAAAATATTTTATTGTTGAATATTGCTTTTTTTATTTTATTTATTTTTTTTTTGTGCTCTCACAGGAGGCACAGAAAGTTTAATTAACCCCGAGGACAGCTTCACATCACTTTAAAATAAATCAGTTGTTATAGCAAAAAATATATTGCTGGGATTTTATGATCACACTAAAGGTAAAAAAAAAAGAAAAAAGTTTTAAGAAATAAATAAAAAAGGCGATATCATTGGCAGCTACTCATGCTATTGTTTTAACATCTAAATGTAATTTTTGTCTGTTGTTGCATTTATAATTTTCTTAAAAAATACCTCAAAGAAATTAGCAAACTTTATCAAAAAAATGATTTGTATTATTATAAGAAGGGTGCTGTTAGTGTGTGACGATAAAAGTGGATTTTTTTATTTTATTTTTAAATAATGAGCGCTGTTTAATTGCAAATCTATATACTTGTCATATCAGGCTATTATCTTATCTCTTCACTAATTAAGGAACATTACCGGTAATGTAATTAAAACGTTTAATCACGTTGTAATTAACAAGGGGGTGTCTAGTTTGTTTTAATACGGTCACGTCTATAGGATGAGATAATTGTTATGATGTTGAGGGAGTTGAGAAATATTATTTTGAGATCAGTGGGTTTAGGATTTTCTGTAATTTTTTTAAAACGCCTTTTTTCCCCCTCACACACACACACACACACACACACACATATATATACATGTGACACATCTTGTAACAGGTGTGAAGTGATGATCATTGTCTTGAATTATCCTCAAATCACCTTAAATAAATTAAAATGTGACGGATTCTACATGAAATTCCTTCCCCTTTTCACGGCAGATTAGTCGTATCCTAATTCTAGGCTTGCATGTGTGTGACCAAAGCTTCAGTAAAACTCTGTAATCATTTTTAACCGAGACTACAGATGTTAGAACAACAGCGTTGGCGCGGCGGAGAGAGGATACGGTGCGTCTTTGTGCGCGACTGTGCCAGCTCCCATTTTCCCTTTTTTTTTCTCTCTCCCTCAAACCTGATGCATATATACGTTTAATATGTCCCCGTGAAAACAAGCTTGTTGGTGTTGCCGCACAGCAGTTTTAAGAGAGCCATCCAGCTGCAGAAATATGTTGCTCTCCCCCCTACCCCTCCACACACACACACACACACACACACACACCCCAGCGGGACAACAGGCGCATGCTGGAGCCACCTCCAGACATCGGGAGACAGAGATCAGGCTCAGGAGACATCAAGGAGCAATCAGTGTCTGCTCACATATACCGACAGACTGATTTATGATGAAACTTTAAAGAAATCATTTATATTTCACCACCTCTAAATCGGTGTATGAAATTTTCATCCACAATGAAACACACAAAAAAGTATATCTTAAGTCAAATAAATCAGCCTCAGCTTCTCCCAAGCAATTGACTTTGAAGTACACTTTCAACACTTTCGCGAGTGTGTTCACGTACCTAAGGCTTTTACTTCCTCATGCCAACAGCTCTCTCTCACGTTTGAGGGGAGGACGCAGTGTCAGAAGGTTTAACAGAATCACCTTTGAAGGGTCTGTCATGGCAAACAGAAACACAATTAGGAGGCGATTGCAGATTTTTCACGAGGAAGCTTATATATAGGGGCTGTTAAATAACATGTATTTGTTTGTATTGTATTATTACATGTTCAGCTCCTGATATGCAAGATTTATTTTTTAAAAATCATAGCTAGAAATAAATCAGTGTAAGTCATGCTTTTATTCAGGAACACACTAATTAGAACGGCACTTACTGTATAACACATATTTTAACATATAAAAACACCTTTCTCATTAGAAGCCTTTTACACCCTTGAGATTGTTTTGTCACTTTTTAATTTATTTATTTTTTTACTATATATTCAGCTAAATGCCCTTCCAGTGGAAATGTTTTTTTTGTGTTTTTTTTTCTCTCCCCTCAATTTCTGTCATCACACTGATACAGTAATTGGAGGGAATGTTGCTCTCATAAAAAGACTTGTCTGCCTGCTTGAAGGTGCACTCATACCTTGCCTTTAAAAACATGAACCCTCAGCGGAATTGTGCAAGAGAGAAGATTTCTAGCACTTCAAGGATCTTTACTACATATAAATAAATCTGCTCTGTCTAAAAATAAAAGTAAAGCCCAAGTAAAATAGAGGGAGCACATGCAGCAAGGCTTGATATAACTCAGGTGACTTGTTTGCTTTTTTTTTTTTTTTTTTCCTTTTCTTTTCTCTCTCCTCTCTCCTTCTCACTTTCTCTTACTTACATCCGAATCAAGGAGTGCTGCAGAGGTGTCTGTGTGCTTTACACAAAGACATACTCTTCTCAGCCTCCCTCAGGAGCTCTCCACGTTAACAATCCCAATTACACCAAGACCACCAGAGACAGCTGTTTTTATTACAGAACCGCTCCTTTGTGCCGCCAACAAGGTATCTCCGCTCCTCGACTGAACGCAGAGAGAGAAAGCTAGACTGAGAGGAGAGAGGGAGAGGAGTGTGTGGAGTGAAGTGGATGAAGTCTCTTGGCTGCTCGCAGTGGTGATGCCTTTATTCACAGCTTCCCCCTCCCTTTTCTGATCTCGTGGAGCTCTTTACATGTTGGAGCAGAAGGTCAATGCTTGTTGGGAGAGGGTCTACAAAGAGATCAGGATCTAACTCAAGGCAACAGCAAATCACACAAAGAAGAGGAGGGGGGGTGTGTTTCAGCCACTAACAGCACTGCTTTATTTATTCATCTGCTTTACCTGGGAAATGTGACAGGTTCCACAAGGAACATTCTCGCTTTAATGTGTTGTTTAAATGCATACAACAAAAGGTAGAAGCCTTCAGGATTTACTAAATGTCACACACTGTACTGTAGCTCTGAGGCGGAACAAGTGGCTCACCACTTGAGGTACGGAAAAGGTTTCAAAAACTGCGCTTGAATTGCTGCTCCACTAGTATGCGATGTGTGACGGTTTTCTATTTGATCTCTTTATGAGGCTAAATATGAGCATCAGCTCTGTTCTCAGGATGTTTGAACTACCTTTTAATATTTTGATACAGAGCTGCTAATTTGTGACATTTAATCCCTTTCCTAAAATAATTAATAAGACCTGAAACATTAGGGCATCTGGTCTAGTGTTGAGGCAGATTATTATATACTAGCAACTTTAGGAAAATACAAATAATCCCTTATATTGTAGTGTTTACATGCTCAAACTGGTAATCATCTACTGTGGGCTGATTTTCAAATTTAGCTTTGCAAAGATGTGGTAATCAGAAAACACATTCTGATGTCATATTTTTCTACTGAAAAATTATTTTATTACAATTTGGTCTTTGCATCTCATCCCCACCAATTACGCTCCTATTGGACAGCCCTGTAGTGGGCAGTGTGCCCTCTTACATAGCGATGTGGAGCTTGGGGTGATAGATGGGTGTACAGTGCATCGAATCTCTATGCAGAAGATCAAGTCAGATTTTTTTTTTTTGCAGTCCAGCAGTTAATGGTTGCATTCTCTCTACCTCTTTAAATGGGATCTTTTTTGAAATGCTAAAGCTACAGTTAATGATTTTTTTTTTGGCCACATGGGGGCAGTGGAACATGATGTATACACAGTGAAAATAAAAAATTACCGAGTTAACGTGCTTGCAACAGTTGTTTTTACGTGATGAACATTTATTTAAGGCTTTTGTCTGTCTCACCAAGCCAAAATTTCCCTTTATTTACATCTGTTTTTGGTTTACAACAACTCCTGAAGACAATTTTGGCCTTGTTAGCGAATAATTGTGCCAATGACCCACCATTTAGTTACCAGCTTTGTCTGTCTAATGTTTTATCCTTGGCAGTTATCTTGCATTTATCAGAGGTATTTATTGAAAACAACCGCCGACTGCGACTGAAAGTTACACTAATGAGAGCTGCGAGAACCAAAACAATAAGGTTGTGGGGTTGTAAAACCAAAACAATGAGCTGAAGGGTGGGCA